AATTGATGTTAATAATAATTTAATCCAGTACTCGTCTGATCATAATCTGGGTGTCAAGCCTCAAAAGTCTAAAATATCATTATTTTGTACCCAAAAAAAAGCAGGATGACTTAATATCACTCTTGAAGGTCCCAATCAGTGATTAAAACTTGCGGCTAAAATTCTTGGCGTTGTCTTTGACACAAAATTAAGATTCATCGAATATGTCAAAAGTCTTTCGCAGGGAACTTATCTGAGGCTACGTACTGTAATTGCAAAACAAATATGTACTAAATTTCAAGTTACGTAAAAATTATATGAATCCTTAGTGGTTTCTGTTCTAAATCACTGTTTTACATTATACTATCCATGTTTAGACAGCTATACCAAAAACCTAATTCAAAGTGTCCAAAATAATTGAAGACGTAACTGGATAAAGTGTTATGTGTAATGTCTGTGATAGTGTAAGTGAACTTGATATTTTTAGTTCCACCAAAATCGCAGCGCGCTCTGCGCTCTGTGGACTCGTGGTGTAGGGAAGTCGATCTTTCTGTTAATGCTGAAAAGACCGAGCTGATCCTATTCACTAGGAGAAGAAGGCTTGACGGGCTGGTCATGCCAACCTTCTTTGGGACTAGATTAATTCTATCCCAATCAGTGAAATATCTGGGAATTATCCTGGATTACAAACTGAACTGGTGAGAGCATGTTGAATACAAGGTTAGCAAGGCTCGCAATTCAATGTGGGCCTGTAGACGTGTTGTCGGTGTAAGGTGGGGGCTTAAACCCAAAGTGGTATATTGGCTCTACACGACGATAGTACGTCCATCTCTCTTGTATGGCTCCCTGGTCTGGTGGCCTTGCATTAGAACTGAGACAACAAAGGCCAAACTCAATAAAATTCAGCATTTGGCCTGTATTAGTATTACAAGCGCAATGCGATCAACGCCATGGAGTACAATGGAAGCTCTGTTGGATCTCCCACCGTTGGATCTGGTGATCCGCGGTGAAGCGAGAGTAGTCGCTCATCGACTGTGGAGTCAGGGCAGCTGGGCTTTCTTGAATCCTGTCAAGGGGCATACTGCCATCTTAGTCGAATTGCAAAGGGAGGACTCCGTCCTTCTAAGCAGGGGTGATCGTAAATATCGCTTCAACCGCAAGTTTATTGTGGAGTATCCAACGAAGGAGGATTGGGACGCCGGTAGTCGGAGACTCTCCGGAGTGAACGGGCAGGTCTCACATTTTGGAGGAGGGGGGGGCTAGCAGAAGAATAACATTCAGCCAGGCTGCAATGAAAGCACTAAGTGCCTGTAAGATTACTTCGAGTCTTGTATTGCAATGCAGGGAGGCTCTGGATTGCCTCGCAGCGAGGCATCCGGTATCGTTAATATGGGTACCGGGGCACGCTGGGATAAGGGGCAATGAGACGGCGGACACTCTGGCGAAAACAGGATCAGCCAGCAAGCTCGTTGGTCCTGAGCCAGCTCTAGGAGTGACCGAGCTAGGAGGAAAATGGAGACGTGGGTTGCAAGACAACACCCTCAGAAATGGCGAAGTATATCCAGACATCTCCGCCAGGCACGGGAACTCATTGAAGGGCCCAGTGCTAAGGATGGACGTTTCTGCCTATCTCTGGATAGAGCCAACCTAAGGTTGTTGGTGGGACTGTTGTCTGGCCATAACACGTTAAGGCGTCACCTGCACGTGATGGGGGTGGCTGAGGATCCCTTGTGTGAACACTGCGGGGTAGAGGAAGAGACCTCGGCGCACGTTTTGTGTCGCTGTGAAGCTCTGAGCTACTATAGGCAGACTATGCTGGGGTCCATTACTTTGGACCCTCAGGACGTCAAGGACCTTGGACTCAAGGCGATTCTCAACTTCGCTAAAAGGGTGAGGCTTGTGATATAAGGAATGTAGAGGTGCATAAGGGCCCGCTTAAGCGGCCTATGCACTGGCTCCTTATGGTGGCCGGAATGCCTCTAATTTCAAGATTCATTCATTCATTCCACCAAAATCGATCTCAAGAGGGGTTTTTTAACAATTGGATAATTTATATTTATGTCTTTTTATCATGTACTGTTTAGAGTTTGGTTTGTGTATCATTTTTTGTTTTTTCCCTGCCTGTTATTTGGGTCACTCTGTTCAGGCAGTGTATGGATTATTATAAATAAGTAAAAAAATAAAGATTATAAATAGATTATAAATAAAGGTGTCATGTAACATTTTTTAAACATCCTTTTTTCGCATTAAACTAACCCTAAGGAGCGAATCTTTAATTCTGTGATTACTTTGTTGCAAAAACAAGATAATAAACATCTAATTGAACTAAATACTTAAAATTTCAATAAAGGAAAAAGTCCCAATAAAAAATGATTGAAGCCAATTTTCTCAATTTGTTACATGACACCTTTTCTACTTGTGCCTTCAGTTATAGATGTATTCGTTTCAATTTGGAATCCGCAAATTTTAGTATGTATCAGCAAAATATCCAATACCCAGTTTCAAAGACATTAAAACATGTAAGATAATAAGTCTGAGTGATGAATCGTCATAGTGAGAAGAAACAGATTGCCTATCTCAGCCAACTAAAAACAGTATTTGTCACAAGAGAATAAATACACTGCATGCATTCTTTGCAATCAACTGGTGGCCTTCATTCAAATTTTACCTTTAAGTTAGATTGGACTGCATCACTGATTTCCCCATTTACCTACCTTTATAATTATAACAGCGACTTATATGCACTTGGTTTGGCTAACAGATGACTCGGCAATTGTCGAGGAGGGGTCACACTGCCAGAGCATATTTAAAAATTGCTATATCTATAATAAGCTGATTGAAGTAAACAGTTTTATCATTGTTGCATATTCCATATCTTCCTTTCTCCTTATTTTTCCCTATCTTCATTTATGCACACTATTAAAACACATTTCTATATTCTAACAACTTCATCTGTTGAAATGAGAATATCAGACTAATATTCAATGAGCTTTCTAAGAATACTGTGAGGTCCATTGGTGAATGTGGAAGAATCATTAGAATGTCAGATATCTTTTGTAATTGCTCCGATCAATACATTTGCAATCTCCAACACGCAACATACAGGGGTGAGTGTAAAATATACATATTTGCATGGAAGACTGTGAATAAATAATAAATATCCTCACCCTGAGTAAGCAATAAATAATAAACAGTAAATTCATCAAAAAATAATTACCGGATTCATCTCTCGCCAAATAAGTAATTGTGTTTGATTTCATAAGTCTGCGTCTCTCTAACTTCATCCGACTTGTACAAGTATCTTCACTGATTATACTTCGCAATTGTTATTAAAAAGGTATCATACGTGTATGATGTTCATTATGTAAAATTGCTCAGAAATATTCCAGACGTGAATTATGCCAAAATACATAGAAACTGCATTTTAATTTATCACATGCGCATAATTTATACAACGCGTATCAGTTTTTTCCATGATGCAATGTTTACTTTACATGCAGTTTCAATTAATGTAAAGAGCATTAATTGGAATACTGTTAATGGATCCAATTTGAAAATATAATTATTTGTGGTGTTCTAGTTTTCCATACGAGAAAGCAGTTATTAAGAAAAACCATACATGTAGAGGTCTTCAAAAGAATTGGGGATATTTGAAGCAATTGAGGGTTTTATTGAGGCTGCATCGTCTGGTGTATTTCACATCTCACTCTTAGGAAATAGTATTAAGCCCAAGCAGAAATATATCTGTAGGATCAGAGAGTAAAGGATAATTTTACGTTGGATACTTATACGACGGCATTCTGGACAAAAATACTGCTTTGAAGAAGGTACAATCTCCAAAGATAGCTGAACTGAGCTTTTCTACTTCTAACAGAAAGCTATATACATATACTAGGTTGCCGGCATCAGCGATCAACAAGGGATCTCCTAGTCACACAACTGTGAACTCACAATGAGGTTCATGTGGTTGCTCTTAATATCACGAGAGCTTTCGATCAGCATGCTGTTCTCTGCAAACCTCCATCCTATGGCCTCCTAGGAAAGATTTGTAGATAGGTGGCTGATTTCAGTTCTGGCCGCAAGATATATGTCATAATTGAAGGGTTTTCCTCTTCGTGCCGCAAGGTCAACGCGAGTGTTTTACAGGGATCGGTCTTTGCTCCGACACTTTTCCTCGTACAAATCAACGACTACATTTCATGTACGATCAATCCTATCCATAGCTTCTCTTGTGACAGCACTCTATATGCAGGAAATCAGAGTACCAACCCGATCTCTATCGGTGAGCTGGAGATAAAAGGCTAATAGCGACTTTCTCGACTCTGTCGGGTTATTTAAAGGCACGCAACAATCTGGTACAGCTTAATGCTTCCAAAACACGGTACTGCACCTTGACTAGTAGAGCTCATCCAGTTTCGATACATGGCCGAGTCCAGATCACCAAGGACTTGATCTGACACGAGACAGCTAGGCTATTTTCTCCATATAACGCCCTCACTCTACATCTAGCATCCAATACTGGTCACAAGTTTGGGATGCTGCTGCCCCGCCTACATTATCCATATTCGACGCTCTTCGGAGAATTACCGTCCATCTGATCGACTAACTTTTTCCAATGTACAGACTCGGTAACCTTTTGCACCGACAGATCGTCGGCGAACTAGCTCTCTTGTACAGCTATGTCAAGGAGATTTGCTCCTCTCAGCTCTCCTCCAGACCTGCCTGACTTCGGTCTCCCATCTTGACCATATCGAACTTCGTACACCCAGAACTGGCCAGTATGACCGTTCCTTTATACTTAGGATGTCGAAACTGTGAAAGAATCTGCCTGAGTTCAAATAACCTTAGGCAGCTTAAAAATCGGATTAACAAAGTGTCTTCAGTCAGTGGTGCCTCAGTGTTTAGGCTACTTCGGTATAAAAAGCTTTGATCCAGGAGTGCAGCACATCCTGTATCAAGTAACTCACAAGATTTGTATCAGAGACAGAACAACAAAACATCATACCGCGAAAACGATATACTTTCCGCCAGTCGCGATATAGAGGTCACAGTTCTGCTGTGTCACGCTGCTGTTGATTCGTTGATAGCTTTCCATAATATTCACAGCATCTCACGTGCACTATCTAATCATCATTCTATTGTTGGCAAAGTAGTATGATCCACCACAGTCTAGTTGATCGACACCGCATCAGTAAACGCGGTCAAAATAATACGCTATTGTTCTGTACTTTCTGCAATATCAAACAGGTGATTGACGTTTTTGTTGGAGTACATGCGACGCAATTCTATGATAGCTTTTCATATTGGTTGCCTACATGCTACATGCAAAATGCTGTTGCTCAGAGAATTGTGGATTGCATTTGCAGTATTGGGAAGAAACATACTTTTTCATTTAATTTTTTTGAAACCGTAGACTGAAGCCTAAATACCAGGCCACCTTGGCGACTCTGGTCTGTCCCTTCGAGAAGAGTCATCGATCAGTCAGACCGAACATGAGAGCAGTACTCGAGACTAGGTCTTATCCGGGCCTTGTACAGAGTATTATGTAGAGAAAAGTGCTTCTTAGCCCTGAACAAATAGCTTAGCTTTCCCCGGCAGCTGCCTTTTATTAATTACTTCAACGTTATTGCCCGGATTTTTAAAAGTGATAACATATTTTTGTGCGATACTGTACATTGCAATGAATCCAAAGTGCAGTCCTATTTACTGGCAGTGGCGACGTTTTCAATATCAATTTTGTTTGCGGTTGCCAACAATCCACGATAAGGCAAATATTTTTTATCATTCAATGGCTCCGCTGGGTTCAATTGCAACATATTAAAAACCGCAATATGTTTTCACAAGCCCGCCCGTTTATTTTGTTCTGCATACCACTATCAAATATTGTCTCTGTCCATACAGCGAATTGTATTTTTGTGACGTTTTAAAGGATATTTTATTATCGAAGAAATATTTGCAATTGTGCAATATTACCTAACTCCTTGTTACAGAAAAACTGATACTCCATAGCTTACATAGGAAATATATTCCACCATGCTACTTATTTTTATCGATTTTGATGATTCATCTAGAAAGATTATTTCTGCACCTATTCCATCTACAATAAAAGTAACCTTTACGTTGATATTGACACAAAATATTTATAACTTTATTGCAAACATTTTACCGGGTCGTTGGCGAATGAATTGTTAAACTTCATTTAAACTCATATGGGTATGCAGGTACACAAATATAAATGAATAAAATATCTGAAAAACGATCAGGTGTTGCTGTTATTTTGAGTGTACGTATAACCAAATTGTATTTGTGTGCAATACACGGTGAACTTTGACACTGAAAATTTTATAAGCGAATAATGGAAAATATAAGCATATGATGATTTACTATCAAAATAGTATTGTACAATGTAGTAGCGCACACAGATACATCTATTGGAATTTCGATAAATATGGCATCTACTCGATTGGCTATCATTAAAACTAATTACTGTGGTGTATCTACAAAGATAAAAATACCTACAGTGGTTTTCGAAAAAGGCCCGCACCTACTTATTTTAAGAACAGGGCAAGTTAGAATGCCGAAATTTGGGGAACATTTTTTAAATGGATTGAGGGGTTGTGTGGTATCTTATGAGGTTCATTATGATCGCTTTATGACCCTAGAATATACAATCACTACCTTTCAAAGTGGTTAGCTGTCAAAGTTAAGCGGTTTTGTACATTGTGCCGCTTATAATAAAAAAGGTTATATACAGGGTGTTAATAAAGTATGTAGACAAACTTTAACCATCGAATCGTTGGTCAATTTGAAGACGAAATTTCCAAATGAACATGGGTCCGCAACGGATTTGTTTTCAAACTAGAGCATATTAGCACTAAAAGAAATGATTATATTGTTCTAAAAAATTATAAAAGAATGGAAGGTATTTTATTTTATTTAAGAATGCCCTGTGGTAAATATCACATGAGTTACAGTTTACAGGCCCTCCATGTACGTACATACGGATAATATTATCCAGTATCTTTAAAAAAATAGCATGACATTGATTTGTTTTTATCGCAATACTTTTATTATTTAAGCATTGTGCTTATCTAGACACCTATGACGTACCCGAAAATAATTAAATTAATTTATTTTCTCAAATAATTCAATACCTGTCAAATATTTGTTTCCTTGTCTGGTCATTCTAAGACTCCAAATATTTATAGTTTTTGTGACTACCAATTGTCATAATGGTCCAGTTCAGTAATCACGAAATGACAGACATGCATTTCGTTTACGGAATGGCTCTGGGTAACGTTCATATTGAGCCTCAGCAACTTGCAACTGTTCTTTATATACGTTTCATTATTCATAGAAATATTTGGAACTCGTTTTTCTTTAGTGATAGTCTTCAAATTAACCAAGGATTCGATGGTTAAAGTTTGTCTGCATACTTTATACACCTGCATAGTATGTTCCATCAATCTGCTTCACTTGAAAGAGTCTGACAAAATTAGTCAAACCTCTCAGAACTCATATTTTACTGCACATTCAGATAGATCCTTCCATAAGAAGAAGATTGATATCACATACTATAACATGTTGATGACTAGTTGAATTATAAGCGATTCAAAGTACAAAAAGGCTCAAATTTATCAACTTGTCAGTATGTCATTTTAAGGTTACAAAGTATACTTATACATTTGACCTGGTCAAAAATAAGTAGGGGTCTTTCTGGTGAGAACAAAGCATTTATTTGAATTTACATTTCTAAAAACTTATTTCATGGTTTCCAGGATTTAATCATAAGTATGTTTTGATATACAAAATCGTTTAGGTATAGAAAATGTGCGAGAATTTTGTTTTTCATTTGATTTTGAAGAGTACTATGTAAAATTAGTACTTATATAAAATAAGTGAAGGGGAAAAAGATGAATGTCACAAGTTTGATGTTTTGTATTTAGAACCAGCAATATGTAGTCGTAACGCAGAACAATCACATGAGCTATAGGAAACACGCAAAAACAATGACAGGCCGTAGTTAATACCCAATTGAAAACTTGCCGTGTAGGGAAAAAAGATGAATGTGACAGCCGTTGTATGAGAGAAAGATGAACGTCCACTGATCGTCACAGAAATTAGTAGCTACTACAACAATTTACCATACATCAATCTGCGACAAAAGAAATAAACGTGAAGTAATCATTTTTAAGCAGTTACCATTAATTTTGTTTTGTTTGTTCTATTGTTCTAAGTGGTAGATTTTAGTAATAGATGGCCCAGAAGATGGACAGAAGCCTGGGACACCTTGGCCGCTATAAGGAGCTTAAATAGGTCTTGTTAATCAGATTTTTGCACTGCCTAAAGTTAGTAAAATTGGGAAAATTCTCCTCAGGCAGGTTGTTTCACAATGTCGACACCCTAAGGACAAAGTAACGGTCGTACCGGACAGGTCTACATGTACGAAGAGAATGAGAGGCCAAAGTCAGGTTCTTTGCGCGGTGGTATCATTGAAGAGAGCTCTGAGGAGCAAAACACGTTGACGTAGCGATAGAAGAGAGCCAGATCGCCGTCGGCCATATTCTTATTCAGCATCGCAAGTTACCTAAGTGCATCAGGTTTAATTGGTTTCTAGCAACATAAATTGAAAATGTATGTAATTCTTCCCTACAGCCTTATACGTACATACCTGGTATTTTGGGTTCAACTTTAACCATTAGCTGGGTTATCGGAACCAGTAAGAAATACGAAATCGAATAAATTTTTGAATAGGTAGAACATTAGTTAATAATTCATTAGTTTCTTATAGCGCGTAGATTGCAAAAATGCAATGCTTGCGTTGGCACTATCTTGACGTGCACAGAGTGCATGCAGTGGTCATCATCACGTGTATAATTATCTAATTTGCAGGACAATTAGGAAACCCAAGCATCGAGTGCATATTATTAACATTGTCACTAAAGCCCATCTATAATTACTATTTAACTGTCAAGTGCTATTAACAATTACAGAGAGAGGCGACACGACAGTCGCCACCGAAGCCATATAAAACATGCATGACTGTATGCATCATAGATCAATGATACATAATATTCATTAGCAAGGAACATTAACACCTCGACTGCCGTTTGACTGCTAATGAGACACGTTACTGTATTTGAGAGTCTTTGAACTTGTTCGGACACACCGGCGCATCGGCTACTTAAGGTTCTTAACATCTCAGATAAGCTGTCAGTTGGTTTTTGATTACACGTGGTTTGATTTAAAAGTACTTTGATTTTGTATGTGTAGTAAATATGGATGTCCTGGCATGGGAATACTATGTGGGATGGGTATTTCTTCTTATATGGGGCGCGTAGATAACACAGACCTATTACATTTTCACTCGGAAACCAGAGAGGTTTTTGGTACGGTGATTCTGAGCCCGTGACCCGAATCTCCGAAATGGCTTTAATTTCTGAGATATCCTAACCTTAAAGTGCCGAGAGCGATTTTGCATATATTTGAGATTATGCAGCATGGCGAATTGTGTTTCCAAAAAAACATAGACATCTCAAATCACAAGGCTTACCCTTTCAAATGCGGTTGAGTTTACTCATGTTTTTTTTTTCGCCGAGAAATGACACTTTGAACTGCAGTCTTGGACGTGGCGCCCTCGCTACGTAACTCTAAGTTTAGCAGATAGCGGTATAACATTTGAAATTCACAGTAAAAATATATATTAGCAGTAAGTTTTGGATATTGGTATGCTAGATCGAAACGCTACAACCACAATGGCTGCTATGACCATGACTACATTTCAAGTCAGGTAGGAATGAAATAAGATAAACAGTTTTTGACTATATTAATTATATCTACATTTTAGAACTTGAAACATCATATGATCTTAAAGGGCAATGAAACAGTCATAAATTTAGTTTAGAGTGTGTGGCAGTATATGACAGAGTTGATATAGGTTCGATTCCCTGAGTGGTATGATGCATTTGATCACATAGCCCCACGCTACCCAATGGGTGTTTAGGCCTTCGGCCTTCGTGGTGGTTGGAGTATAAAAAAAATAATAATTTGGCATGGCGAAGGGTCGTTTTCCTAATTTTGGGTGAATGTATTAGTTTTGATGTGATTTTTACAGGTAAATTTACAGTTTCTGGAAAGGACTACGCAACCTGTTCTATTGACATACCATGTAATCAAAAAATCCCAGACGTGCTATAATAATTTTCTAATAAACTTTTCTATATCTATACTTGTACATTTTATTGTCATATTTCCCATCCACGTAAAAATATAATCCTGATGTGTAAACAACAGCTCTAAATACGGTCCCGAAATTCATTACTGCCAACGTTAGAAATTAACACAAAGATCAGCTGTTCACCTCAAAGCGTGATGGATACGTGATGGATACTCGTGAAGTAAGGTTTAGATCATCTGCGCATGAAAAAATGTAAAAAAATCAACAAAACCTGACGCAACCTTTATATGCATCCAACCCACATTTTGGCATTTTTTGTAGGTATATTACTTCGTAGTTTATTAACCCATACTACTACCGTCCTCTGTAAAGGCATTGCGATTCAAGGATTAAGGAGTTTCAGTAATTTGACAGAAGGTATCGCCACCGTGCTCTGTCAGAGAACATTAGAACTACCACCAATTACTACAGTTTAGTCCCATGCGTATCGCTTGAGCGATATATCGACATTTATACAGTGTGCTTCTACAAATAGTGATCATGTAAGAGTGCTTATTCTAGATATGATGGGCTCAATCACCTTGTAGTTTATCAAGAGAATCTGCAACGTTGTGGCGAATGCCATAAAAAAGTTCAGTTTCGCTGCAGAAAATGTAGTGTTCCACTACATCCTGAAACGTGTTTCACAGTATCACACCGAATAGTTATTTGTTTTATGTCTTGCAATATGTGTCCTAGAATCTGGGTTAATCTTATTCAAAATGTCTTCTTGCAACTCGCCCGAAATGTCAAAATGATAACAACAGAGAGAGATGCCAGGCGTGGAGAGCCGAAAATTATTTTTTTCTGTGCATTGTACCTACAAGAGAGATGCTCTATGCGTAGCACCTGAAATTCATCTCCTGCGCAGTGTGCTAACTTGCTTCATCGTCGACTTTTTTCGCTTCACCTCCGGTCTATGAGTTTAACCTCCAGTCTCTAGTCTTCTTGCTCCTTACCTTACATTCGGCAGCATACCTCCTAGGAATTTTCTTATGATCATATCAAAGTCTACTGATAGCGTTTGCTTCTGATAAAGCTATTATTGCTCTGTAGCTATAATGTTCTTTCGGTGCGTATTTTGAACTAGTTTTGCACTTAATTCAAAAAAGGTCTTCTTATCTCTCCTTCAAAAATTACCATAGGCGCACGGAAAAGGACAAGGAAATGACAGATGGCAGCCCGAGATACGCAATGATAGATATTTTGTGTTCTTTTGGGGGCCAACTAGGGCAGAGTATTTCAAGCACGGAAACTGCAGTAGGTTTAGTTAGTCTAGAACAAAATGTACGTCGAGTAAGTGACTCGGTCATTACAAATCTTCGGCGTTCTGTACGGAAGCATTCCGCTGCTTTGGGAATCCCTAGGTCAACACTGGATGGCTTAACGAAGAAAAAAATGGGTTTCCATCCTTACAAAATCCAAACAGTCCATGCTTTAAAGGAAAGTGGTTACTCGTATTGAATCATTTTCCTACGCAGAACGTTGTTTACAGGGACGAGTCCCATCTTCACTTATACGGTTATGTGAACAAGCAAATTTGAAGATATTGGGCAGCAACGAACCCAAAAGAGAAACACCAACAACAGCTACATAAATCAAAGGTGACTGTTTGGTACGCCATATCCTCCAGCGGTGTTATTGGGCCGTATTTCTTTGAATATGAAAACGGTCACGCATTGACAGTCAATTCCGAGCGATACAAGGACATGACTGACACTTTTTTTGCTACCATTGTAGAACAGAACATCGAATTAAGAAAAATACATGGTTTCAACAGGATTGGGTCACTGCCCATACTTCCAGAAAACTGATAGACACGGTATAAGCACTTTTTCCTCAAAAAGGTTAGAGACATTCACTGGCCTCCTAGGTCACCAGACCTCACGCCGTGCAACGATTTTTTGTGGGGTTATCTAAAGTCAAAAGTGTATTCCCATAATCCACGAAGACTAGAGAAGCTTAAAGACAACATTCGACGAGAAATAAATAACATCACTCCGCAACTCTGCAAGAGAGTGTTTCAGAATTTGCGCACGCGATTAGATTAGTGTGTCCGAAGGGATGGCAAACATTTGGACGGAATGATATTTAAGAAATAAAACCCGCCAAATTTACAAATATGTTATATTTATTTTCTTTTCAACAAGTGTGTATTTTTTTTAAAGCAAAAAGTGAGCTTTCCCACTGTAGATTGATTCGAAGATTTAAAGAGTTTTTCATTCCATATGACCATCCGAAACCATAATTTTAATGAAATTCAAGCAATCGATGTATCCACCCAATATTCGACGTCCGTAAGTCTGTGGGATCTGTCGGACCTTTGCTCAAATCTCCGTGGTTCTAATCCTCATCCCATATAAGGCGAGCTACTAGGATATTATAGTTCTGAAACGGGTCTCTGTGCTGTGTGCCTCCCTCTAATCTTCGTCCCAACTCTGTCCGGTTGAACAGAGATCAGTCAAGGAAGATGTTTACATATGCTTTAGATGTGAAGCCGTCAAAACTTGGCAAATTTGCCTTCTCTCAGCGGGCGCTGACAGCAGGCTATGAAACTCATGCTGCGCCATAGCACAGGCATATTGGATATGTACTAAAAGGAAAATGTTTTTGTCTCATTCACAACACACTGTTTTGGAAACGGGCACAAAAACTAAAAAAGTATGTCGACATACATCGCAAATGCCGGTCGATTGTTGCCAAAATTGGGTAGTTTTAGTAAATAGTTTGACTGCTTTGTCTACCAATGCCTGCAAAAGTGACAGCGTTGTATCAGCGTAATAATAATATCTACATTACTGATGGACAAATCTACCTTCATTAGGTTTGTGCCGCTCGTTGCAGATTATGTAAGAAGTACCATGTCTTGAAATCGTCTAATACGACAATTATCTGCAAAACTCGCATTTAAGAAAAATGACATTGAAAATAGGAATTTAATGACAGAACTATAAAAAAATTTGATCCTTACTACAGAATATGAGAATTAAAAGACAAGTAAATCCTTGATTGTCTCTTTCTATCTAGCCTAAATTCGTTGGCCTAAACGGACTGGACTATGAGACCTCCTCTGGTGCTATGTTGGCCTCGTGGTGTATGTAGGGTTTCAGGCCCTCGCCCTGCAAACCTTATTGTACCGCCGACCTGCCACTGAAAGGGATCTTTTGTGCCCTTTGGCGCAAAGCGAGAGGTAGACGATCTGTTCGATTTTTTTAATACGCTGCGGCCAGAACGAGGTGACTGGTGACCCAAATCGGTGCCGAGCATTTGGAAACGACAGGGGATTATCACAGATTACGTATGCTCAACGCATTTATTATGCTCTACCGTGACAAACCACGATTTTATTCTGGTGAAGTGGTTGTATCGACAGGAATCGAAAGTTGCTGGATTAACTTTAACATAACAGAGATACAAAACAATAATTCTAGATTATTCCTATAGAAATAGGGTCTTTTTGTTTCAAGGATCCCATCTAGTTTAACTGACGGAGAACAGTTGTAATGCTGAAATCATTTTCTAATAGATTGTTTCATATTCTTTTGAATGTAGGAACAAAGAAGCAGCCGTACCAACAAATTTTAATGGATTAATTATATTTCAGTAGTTTCAAACACACCCGTCACTTATGCTAAACGCCCATTCTGAGTTCCTTTAAGTAAGCAAATAAAAACAAATAAACAATACGTTACCTGCAACTGGTGACAATTTCCTCATGACACACCATCTCGATTTCCACTGAAAACGAACGTAGAGTTATTAATACAGATTACTAATCTAGCAAATATCCACGACACTGCTGATACCTGTGACTATTACCTATTGTGTGACAATATTACTTATCTATGCAAAATTGCAGTCATTCATTCATACATACTACAAATGTACATGACTGTACGGAAGTGCTAAAACAAAGTTTACTGAGATATTTCGGGAGGTAAAAAGGTATAACTTGCAGCAAAAATACAGGTAACTGCAAAGTTATGTTTTCTGAAAACACGAATATTGATGAACCTGTAACCAGTTAGAAAACATAGCCAAAGGAGCTTCAACTTATGCTCTTAACAAGATTATCTTTTAACAAGCCTTGAGTAAAGTCCAGTATCACATGACATAAGGAACACTGGCTCTGTCTTAGAAATATCGCAATCGTTTTTTTGAATCGTGTCAGAGGGTTGCCTTTCTTTTTCGGAGCATCCTTATTTTGAACATATTGTATATTTCTTGCCAATAGAAGTGAAGGTTGCACGATACTTCAGTTCATATTGTCTCCATCTTTCTCCCGTTATGGCGTCGATCTTCACGATCAACAAAAAACAACCGCTCTCCATCCTAGTAGGCCGTCAATAACTTCATTATTTACTCTCGTCTTTTTATCTGCGGAAGAAACAAGAGTGCTGTGACGGCGGCGCCGATGACAACCTTTTGTTTCAACCTTCAACTGTCACAAGATTAATAGTCTGGAGTTACTCGTTCAGGGCTCACTGTATAAAACGATCATTTTGTAAACGGTCTTTTTATTTTTAAATTAATAACCGCCTTGGATAATATTTCCTGGTAGGGTATTAGCCGTATTATTGCCTGAGGCGATAAATGTTTCTTGTCAGGAGGGTAATTAGATTTTTTAGGTTAGGTGTCCGTTGGTTATTGTAATTAACATTCAATAGCTGTTTGCATATGGTAATTATGCTGGTGGGGATTTTTAATGGGCATATTTGCGAACTATAAGCATTTTGTGTCATAAATGATCTATATTTATTGCGGATTCTAGGTGACATGCACTTTATATCAGCGATTATGATAATTTGCGAACTTACGTTACGGATGTATGTATGTCAACGTAATTGAAGATAGTGTAGTTATTTTTTTAAGTATACGATGTTTTCATAATAAGGAATGCAACCTTCTAGGTGTGAGGAGTATTCATAGCCAGGTCTGCCCTGTGCTTTGTACAGAGTAAGGAGACTAGGTCCTGCATAAGAGAGGGCACACTTGTTGGTACAGAACCAACCTTAGGGGTTACTCTACAACTTCGCTAGAAGGAATTGAGATTCTTATCTATCACACTTATATCTACTATCTTTGAGCCTGTACTGACCTAACGCAAATAAAGTATCTTACACGAGCTGAAATGAAGACTAATTTTGGACGGTTAAGCCACGGCTTGTCGCAAAAATGCATATTTTAAAATGAGCTGTATGTAAATAGCAAGATCTACGGTCACCATTAGCATTTCAAATTCAAAATCCGGCGTCGAGCGTTAAGGAACAAAATGGCGGACAGGCCATGATAATTGTCTCCTCGCATTTTGTTACAAATTACCGCGCGCCAGATTTCAAACGAGTATAATATAGCGCTCTATGCTAATTTTATGCTCTGGAAGAAAAATATATTAAGTGGCAGTTGCATATAATTCGGAAGATACTGTAATGAATACGTACCTATATATATATATACAATGTAGACAGTTATGGAGGATTTTGAGGTGGAAACAACAGTACTCTGTCACCCAATTTACGGGTGTGTGCAAAAAAAAAATAGCAGCTGCATTACGGCACGGGTATCACGTATCTTGAACAGTGACATTATGTCGATTTTTTTCTTTGAGATTATATTGGTTTTTTGTGACAGTATGTAGGTTTTTCTACAAGATGATAACTTAGCACTAGCTGATGGACACTTGTTGTGAACTCGTTTTGTATTTGTACGTATTACCTAAACGTCATGATGCTTCAGTTATCAATGTTTGGCTCTGATGTGATGTAAGATCTGCTTCAGAGGTGGCATTATTGGAGATTCAAGCTATGAGTTGTATACTATAGCTAAAAGGAAACGGCAGTGCATAGGAGCATAGTTAGGATTTGTGTGCTAATAATATGTGTTGATGATAATGCCATTAGTTTCTTGTCTCAAATATACTTACTTGATATTCAAAGCTAGAAATTAGTTACGCATCCACTCTTTCCTATTCATTCTGGAAATTACATATGCAAATTTGCTGAATTTCAGAAATGAGAGAAATAAGAAAAGAAAATCCCCGGTTGGTGAAGAAACAGGTGAGAAAATATGCTACAGACAGGAAAGTGAAAAGGTTATTACACTATTTTTATGTCCAGATATTTAAACTTCATAGAAATCTATTTTGCGATGTACATAGCAAACACAAATCAGCGCCTAGGTGTGAGGCATTGCGAAAATGTTTGATGTGTGATGTGTCATTGCTAATGTTTCTGTAATGTGGCTTAATTGCAGTAAACGCGAGCGCGGTGGCGATTTCCCGTTATGCCCCTCAATATTTTTAAGAACCCAAAAAAAAACGGGAAAAATCGTAATTTATTACTTTGAACATAACATATCTTCAGAAAGGACAACCGTCGGGCACAGCTAATAGATATACTTCATTGGCAGCATATTCAGTAATGATTTTCTCACACAGCAAATATCACCGATTTTATACATATGCAGACCAATACACATAATCATCCAGATGCGATCTTGCTTCTCAACCAACTTTCTTTCTTCCACATCTCCAGACAAACTCAGGCACATATTATAATCTGTATTACAGACTACCCGGCTTCACAAACCATAATTATACTTGCTCTCTGCAACCAACAATGCATGTAGTTGAGTCATTCCTCCATAGATGCAGAATGAACTATTTGCACCCTAAAGACTACTTAGGTTGTAAAATGATATTTTGTTGAATTTTTTTACTTTTATAGGCTTTTTACATAATAGCCATACGGATCGGCTTGCGCGGTGTACAATTTATTTACCTTAAGCTCCTAACATCGTACAGAGGGTCAATCTGTTTACTTACTTCGTATAACCTCATGAGGTAAACGCCAAACACCACGAAAAGAACTATCCAGTTATTTAGAAATTAGTGATTCAATGTTTTAAAAAAGACAACTTACATGCAATAGTGTTAATTTTGGATTAAAAGTTTTTGACGAAAGTCCACTCTATAAATACAATTGTTTTCTTAATCAGCCTGAATAGCGTAGATCATAGAGTCGGAAACAATATAATCTCATTGTCAGACAAGAAGGTGAGTTAATATTTCAATATTGTCCATTTACAAGCCGGTATCTGGTCCAATTCAGGTTTGATTGAAGTATTATTATTATTTGGGACCTCGGTTGGCCGCGTGGGTCAGAGTGTCGTGCTATTGATCAGCCGGCCGGCCGGGCCGCGAGTTCGAATCTCGCCTTCGCCATGGATGTTGTGTGTTTGTTTTAGGCAGCAGCGGTGGCCGCAGTAGTAGACTCTTCGGTCTCCTGATCAGCCGCCGTGCGCTGTGCGGGTTCGAGTCCCGTCCCAGGAGAAATGTTTCTCTTGGCCATGGATGTTGTGATTGTCCGTAGGTGGTAGACGGTCTCTGACTGTCGAACGCGGAGGTACCACCCGGCGGTTCTCGTAGGCGGAGCCAGAATGTGTGCATGTTGCATGCACACGTGTTCCCTCGCCAGAGTCCGTGTGGCGTCCCCCCTTTCCCATGTATCCCCCATAGCCCCACGGTACCCAATGGGTGCTTAGGCCTTAGGCCTTCGTGGTAGTTGGAGTAAAAAAAAAAAAAAATTAGTTGCA